CCTGATCTGGGTTCTCTTGTAGAACCCAAGTATAATTGTAAAAAATCTTCAATCCTTTTGTAGTCTTAATCTTTTGAGTTGATTGACTTGCAAAGCCCCAATTTGGGACCTCGAGGTAAACACTTCGATACTTAAGTCAATAATATTCTAGTCCACTTAAAGGATAAAATAAGAAGAAAGCTTTAAGTTGGTTTTAAGTACCTATAGTAGGTGACTCTCGAGGGGTATTTATAAGTTTTAAGAAGGTATACACCTATCTCTTATACACATCTCTCAGTCCCAGGGCCATCTCTTTTTCTGTTCTTTGCAGGGAAAGGAACACTTGACTCAGGAATGCCTAATTATCATGTAATCAAAGAGGGTGAGGTTCTGTTCGTGCCTGCCTATACAGAGATTAGTGTTACAGCTAAATCAACAGAGTTACAATTGTATAGGGCTGGAATTAATAGTAGATTTATTCAAGATTCATGCCAGTATGAGCAATAAAAGACTAGTAAGAGAAATTAAAATCGCAGATCCTTAATGATTAGTATATCCCATTATATTACAACCCTAACATTTTTTTTCCCTTAATTTATTCTTTGATTATTTTTCTGAAGTTCTGAAGGGCATGTGTTATTTTTCCCAAATGAATTTTATTGTGTCTGAGGTTTATAATCAATGCAAGAATTCCTTTGAAAAGTATATAAATCCATAAAAGCAGAATCAGTTATTAGTTTCAAAATTTTATTTTTCTCATTTCAATTAGAGTATGAGTTTTTACATTTTTTTAGTTTGAATTGTAAGCATTAGAGGATGGTCACAAATATGCAATTTAAAATAAAAAATTTTATTCCTTTTTACTACGATAAATGAGTTTGATGCATAATTAATTAAATAAATAAATAAATATCTAATATATTAATAAATAACTTATTATATATTTGAGTTAAGAGAAATAAAGAGGAAGGTAAGTAACTAAAATTTTATCTCTCCATTTCTCTCCAATCATTTTTTTATATGAATAAGTAAATAAATTTTTAAAAAACAAAAAATAAGAAATTCTCTCCTTGTTATCTCTCTTATTCTTTTGATAACATAATAAAAAAAATCTTTTTTCATTTCTTTATCCTCCATTTATTCAAATACAAATATATTTCTATTAAAAGAATAAATTATATAATGATATATTAATTTATAAATTTATAATATTACATATTTTATAACCATATCATTTTTAAAAAGAAAAAATGATCTAAAATATGATTTTTTTTTTTTGACCAGGTAGATGGTTAGGAAGTTAGTAGAGTTAGTTTGTTAGCAGTTGGAATTTTTTCAGAATAGTGAACGTTTTACCTCTTCATTTGAGGTGCGCAACCATTAAGTTACAAATTGGTGGAGTTCAGAGCAGTGACAGAGTTCGAAACCCTGACTTCCGCCTCACCCAAACCCTAAGGCTTGGGACCAACCATTGAGCCCGAGGCCCGGTTGGTTGATCTAAAATATGATTATCGAAATTATCAGTAATATTTTTCACTCCATGATTAGTATTTGCTAGAAAAAGAAGGAAATTGTTTAGATCAACCAGGTCAAGTTCAGATGATGTCAGATCGGATCCCCAATGGTCAAAACACAAGGTCGTTTCCTTGGAGCCCAAGATCTGTTGGCCCGAGCGACGCGTCAAGGGATCTGACTCATCTGACCCGACCAGATATTTTTCCCTATTTTTTATTTTAAGTGAAAACAATATTCAGTTTCAAGGTGAACGAATTAAATAATTATTTTTTATTTTATTAAAAATAAAAAATTATAAATTTGAATTACTTAGTGTGATAAGAGATAAGATAACAAAAAAAAAAAATTCAATTTTAAGAAAATGCGAACATATTTCTCAAGACTCCCTTTATTTTTATTATTATCCTTTAAGCCCAACAAAATCAAATCCCTCAATCCTTCGGATGATAATATTAGGGTTTTATTAAGGATTTATTACACATCAACATCTCCCTTCTATTCTTACACAGCCTCCGCCCTTCCCCGCACAGTATCCACAATCTCATCTCTCTCGTACCTCAAACACCCAAACATGGGGGTCAATGACGACAACTCTGAGAGGCCATTGGAGCTGTTCTTGAAGATCGGTTTGGATGAGCGGACTGCTCATAACACCGTTGCCAACAACAAGGTCACTGCCAATCTCACCGCCGTCATTCACGAGGTTAACTTTCTTTCTTGCTTTTGTTTGGTTCCTGAGAAACGAAAGGAAAATAATTAATTTTGCTTTGGGACATTTTCTAGTTGCCCCTTTTAGCATCTGAACCAGGATTTTACTGTAATTTGAATGAATTTATGGTATTTGTGACAAAGTTCTGCTCGTTGTGATGTTTTCAGGCAGAAGTCACTGAGGGGTGCGATCGGTTAATTGGAAATCTCTTATACACGGTAGGATTGTTCATATGTGCCTGTGTTTTTTAATTATTTGAACAGGCATTCACTTCTTTAGATGAATACCCATTTGTTTAATTGCAGAAATATGAGCTCAAGTTTCAATTTTTCTCCTGAGACTCCTTTTCATGCTTTATGTATGACAGGTAGCCACGAAATACCCAGCCAATGCCCTTGTGCATCGCCCAACTTTGCTGAAATATGTTGTCTCTTCCAAGGTTCAAAAACTTAAATCTTATTTATACGTGTCCCAGCATTGATTGCAAATTCACAGTGCTGATGTTTGTTAGCTTAATTACTTGGGTTTGCCTTTGGAAGAAGTTGCTAACATCTTCCCTTTCTTTTTTTTCTTTTTTTTTCTTTTCAGATTAAGACCCCAGCGCAGTTAGAAGCTGCCTTTTCATTTTTCACAACTATTGGGTCTGAGAATTTTAATTTGAATGAATTTGAAGAAGCATGTGGTGTTGGTATGACATAAAATGACTGATCTTTCTCACGCAATTTATTTACATGCCTCAGTGTTGACTTACAATCTTACTGTTTGTATTTCTTTTTAAATGAGTTAATAGTTAGAATAATCTCTCTTTAGCTTGAAATTCTTATTGGTTTATTCAATTTGTTGATAGGGGTTGAAGTTTCTGTAGAAGAAATTGAGAGAACGGTCACTGAAATCTTTGAAGAGAACAAGGCTATGATTTTGGAGCGACGATATCGAACAAATGGTTAGTGTTTGGAATTAAATGTTTAGCTTTTAAGCTCTTAGGAGTTTCAAGGGAGATATTAGATAAACCAAAAATGAAGTACTCTCTCTCCCCTCTCTTTCTCCATCACACATACACATGCATGCACAAATGGAAATCTAGGAAAATTGCGTGTTGCAAGCATAAAATAGTTACATAAATGGAGAAATACACTTGAAATGCCTGCAAATAGAATCTAATACTTGATATAATCAGTGACACTTTGCAGTCTTCATTTATTTTTCATTTCAGCTTTCCAGATGGTGATATCCCATTATTTTTTGATAAAATGTTTATTCTTGTCTTTATTTGTCATTTCTTTTATATATTATAACATTTTTGTTGGAGTGAATATTCTGTGCCTCTTCATTCATGAATGTGCATATGTATCCTCTTTTCCCCCTGCTCTTCATATTTTTATTGATATCTTCTTTTTCATCTCTAGTGGGTGAACTTCTGGGGGGTGTTCGGAAGAAGCATCCATGGGGTGATCCAAAGATAGCTAAGGTGATTTTTCTATGTCCCTAATTTTCAAAGACCTAAATAGCTTGTTTAATGTAAAAGTGTTCTGATTCTCTTATCCGCTTCCATGACAGCAACTTGTTGATGCAAAAATGTATGAATTACTTGGTGAGAGGACAGCTGCAGATGATGAGAAGCCTACCAAAAAGAAGGAGAAAAAGGAGAAACCTGCTAAAGTTGAGGTGGGAATTGTGATGCTTGCTTCGTTCTTTTACATGTGGATGTCTTACTATTGTTACTATTATTTTTATCTTTCTTCTAAGCAAATTGCACCTTTGTAGGACAAAGTTGCTGCCAATGATGCTCCTGCCCAACCATCTGAAGAAGAAATCAATCCGTTTTCAATATTTCCTGCACCAGAAGATAATATAAAGGTAGAGAAATGAATTATGTTTTGTTAATTTACACTTGTTGGAACCTTTATTTATTAGCGAGTATCACTAATGTTGTGAGTAAATGATGACTATTTTTGTTATTAGGTGCACACTGAAGTCTTTTTTAGCAATGGCTCTGTGTTGAGATGTTGCAACACGAGGGAACTGCTTGAAAAGCACTTGAAGGTGACAGGGGGCAAAGTTTTTACTCGCTTTCCACCTGAACCAAATGGGTATCTACACATTGGACATGCAAAAGTAAGTTTCTTGAGGAGATTCATACAGGATGGAAAATATGACCTGTTTTTGGATATGCATTTTGACATGATTTCTTCTAATTACTCAGGCAATGTTTGTTGACTTTGGCCTTGCTAAAGAGAGGGATGGATGCTGCTACTTAAGGTAAAAGTTTTCTTTTCTACTAACAGCTCTGAGTTAACTTGAAAAGAGATAAAGATGTTCAATGTCCCAAATATTTCTTATCTTTTGCTTGTTTAGATATGATGATACAAACCCTGAAGCTGAAAAGAAAGAATATATCAATCATATCGAAGAAATTGTGGAGTGGATGGGTTGGAAACCTTTTGAGGTATAATGTTTTTCAATGTTATTGCAATATGTATTATGTGGATGTTTATTAGTTTCCTGACATCATTTTCATGTTGCATTTTGCAGATTACTTATACCAGCGACTATTTCCAGGAGCTATATGAATTAGCAGTGGAGCTAATACGAAGGGGTCATGCATATGTTGATCATCAGGTTGTGATGACTGATAATATTGTCTGTGGTTACCTGTGCAATACTGCAGACTGGGCTGTTTTCTTTTAACTGACTCTGGTTTGTTGGTACTAGACTCCTGAAGAGATAAAAGAATATAGAGAAAAGAAGATGAACAGCCCATGGAGGGATCGGCCTATTGAAGAGTCATTGAAACTTTTTGATGACATGAAGCGAGGTTTGATTGAAGAGGGCAAAGCAACACTTAGAATGAAACAAGATATGCAGAGTGATAATTATAATATGTATGACCTCATTGCATACCGTATCAAGGTAATTGCGCACATAAATATTTTGGTTGACAAACCTGTCCATTTCCTTTTATCATTAATGGTCTGACTCTCTCTCTTGTTTGCTCTGCAGTTTACTCCTCATCCACATGCAGGAGACAAGTGGTGTATTTACCCAAGTTATGATTATGCTCACTGCATTGTGGATTCTCTTGAGAATATCACACATTCTGTAATATTCTTGTTTCTTCCCTTAATCAATAAGATTTTTTTTCAAATATTATTTCCATGAATTCTGCTGGCTCTCTCTTGTTTACCTTACGGGAACATAAGTGTCCAAGTACTATATTCATAACATTTAACAAGCTGGCTTATTGATTTTGTTTTTCGTTCCCCTCATATTTTATGTAGCTCTGCACACTTGAATTTGAGACAAGACGTGCTTCATACTACTGGTTATTACATGCATTGGGCCTCTACCAACCATATGTGTGGGAGTACTCCCGGCTGAATGTTACGAATACTGTGATGTCTAAGCGGAAAGTAAGCAAACACAAAATATGTTTTTGCATGGGATGCATGGCATGCTTTGAATTGTTTTTTTATTGGGTCAATTGACTCTGTTTCTAATATTCATTTGATTGTCTTTGTATATGATTTGCAGTTGAACCTTTTAGTGACAAAAAAATATGTTGATGGTTGGGATGATCCCCGTCTTATGACACTAGCTGGATTGCGTCGAAGGGGCGTGACTGCAACTTCAATCAATGCTTTTGTTCGAGGAATAGGAATTACCAGAAGGTTGAAAACTCACATTGTCATGCACATTGTTGTATATTGTTGCTTTATGTATATTCAGTTAGGGTTCAGAGACAAACTGGATCTATCATATTTGCCGTGCTTGTCTTTCCATTAATAAACTTTACTTCATGTTCTACAGTGATTGTAGTTTGATACGTTTGGATCGACTTGAGTATCACATTAGAGAAGAACTAAACAAGACAGTGCCACGTGCAATGGTTGTTCTACATCCTCTCAAGGTTGGTGTAATTTCTGCAGTCTTCCTTTGGAAACCATCTCCTACATCTGTCTAACTCATTTTCCCCTTGTTCTCAGGTTGTCATTATCAACCTTGAATCAGTTATGAATCTTGATGCAAAGAGATGGCCTGATGCTGATACGAATGATGCCTCTGCTTTTTACAAGGTGAAGAAAAATTAGAGTATCATGGTTCTAGATAATAGTCAGGTTTTCTGAAAGTGAGATTACCCTGCATGCCACATTAAAACATGTCAAGAATCATTACAGAAATCATATCTGAATCTAATCTTCTTCAACCTTAGTTACTAAAAAATAGATTTTTGCTTGAAGTCAAATTTGCTCCCTATGTTTCAGTTTCTATTCTGTAACTGCAACTGCTGCACTTGCTTTGGCTTTAGGTTCCCTTTTCCAATGTTGTCTACATTGAACACTCTGATTTTCGGATGAAAGATTCTAAAGACTACTATGGTTTGGCACCTGGCAAGTCAGCTCTACTAAGGCATGTATTTCTTACAAATTTGGATTCAACAATTTGCTGTTAGCACTATTGGATTCATGATTCTGATCTTTTTACACATGCAGATATGCCTTCCCCATAAAGTGCACAGACGTAATATTAGCTGATGACAATGAGACTGTTCTAGAGATCCATGCTGAATATGATCCTTCCAAAAAAACCAAGCCAAAGGTGTAATTTGTGTTTATTTATACGTATATATATTTTTCATTTCTTGATGCCCTTTTCTAAGATGATGTATTAATTTGAATGATGTTCTTGGAGGCTGTATTTTTCTTGTTTTAATAGTTTGATATATTTTTTGTTTGATTATTTTTCATTTTTGTCCAGGGAGTTCTTCACTGGGTTTCTGAACCTTCTCCAGGGGTTGAACCACTGAAGGTGGAAGTCAGACTGTTTGACAAACTCTTCAAATCTGAGGTTTGCACTTGTTTACTTTGGATTCATTTCTTGCTTTTTGCCTGAGAATGTTGGATGAATTTTTACAACCTCTAATTGTTTAATCAGAATCCTGCTGAGCTAGATGATTGGCTTGCCGATCTGAACCCCGAGTCTAAAGTGGTGATACCTGCCGCTTATGCAGTATCACCCCTTCATGACGCTGCCGTAGGAGACCGGTTTCAGTTCGAGAGGCTAGGTAGATTTCGTATGCCCTTTTTAGGTTTTTCTGAGTCCAATCTTACTGATTGAAATTTCTTAGATGACATAAAAACCAAGATATCAGTAAAGTTGAAAAGGTCTTACAGATTCTGGTAAAATAAAATTGACATTACACATTAAATTTTGAAACTTGGGGTGAATATATAGTTTTCATTGTGGGTTCTAATATATATTTGGGTATAAGTCTGTTTTACCATCCTGCATATATGGGGCGAGCAATTTTTATTCTCCCATCTAAGACTTGCTTTGGATATGCAATTCCAGGATATTTTGCGGTTGATGAGGACTCCACTCCAGAGAAACTTGTCTTTAACCGGACGGTCACTCTAAAAGATAGTTATAGTAAAGGTGGGAAGTAATTTCCCACTTGAAGCAGTCAAAAGTTACTTACCTTACCTTATGGTGTACAAAATATTTAGTTGGTTATTTCACAGAACTAATGTATACAATTTACATCTTCAATGAGTTCAACCCAGCTATACTTAAATCTTTTTTTTTTTTTTTGAGACAATTTTTTGTGATGTTATCAACAGATTAATTGCTTGTGTGGTTTGTTCCACATGTGTTGTTGAGAACTCATTCAGAGAAATTGAATTACTAAGATTTCATACCCTTCTCAGGTTTTAGTTTTTCCATTTTTGCTTGACTACAAGCATTTGTTGGAAGAGATTGATTTTCTCATCGCCTCTGGAAAATGACGGTGGTTAATCACCCAACTTAGTGCTTCAATTATTGTCCAGATCTTCAAGTTGATTTTTAAATTAAAAAATATTCTGATTTGATATTTAAATTTTCAAAATTTTGACTTCAAGTTAGGTCATTCCATTAAAAAATTGCAAATATATCCCGTTGCACAGGAGAATGACGACAAGGCAAAAACTATAGGAAGATAGCATGGAAAAAATATGATGACATACTGACATGACAATAAACTTAAAATTTTTCCCTTTTTTTTTTTTTTTCTCTTTCTCTTTCTCTTCCTTTCCTTTCCTTGCCTTGTGCAAAACCCCAAATCTTCTGCTTGCAATTGCCACCAACGATCCATCTCTTTCTCTCTCTTGCTAATTCCCCTTTCTTAAAGAAATATCCACAATCTTATTCCCATTCCCTTCACTCCCAATGCAAGAGAACATTCTTCCTTCAAAATCATCCAATATCCCCACAAACCCATTCCTGCTCCGAACAAAACAAAGAGTAGCCAAATCATCTAAACCCAAAAATTTTTGTAGATTAAAATTCTAAATTGGTTCGAGATTCATACAAAATAAACCCACATGAAAAGACTAGTGCTTTTCTCCGATTGTGCAGAGAAGAAGAGAGGGGAATGAAATCTTGAGTTTGTACCATACCTAACCTAACTGTAAGGCAGCAGCGTTGTTTGTCTTCTGGGTTTCCAGCAAACCAACCATGGAGAATATGCCTAGCAATATCTCTCGACTTAGAGTTTCAAAATCAAATCTTTTGAGTCAGATCTCCCTCTACCTCTACCACTTCTTTCTCTACCAGGAACTGAAAACAAAATAGAATGTCCCTACAAATCTGGATTCTTTCTTTAAGAAGAATTTGTAAGAAAGTCATTCGATAAAAAGAAAAAAAAAGAGATGTAGGGGACCAACCCCCACTCCCTTTCGTTTCAAAATGGCAGTCGGAGGCACGAACAGAGCCAAGGTGAAGTCGATGAAGTCACCATCACCGCCACAGGCGCACTTAAAGCAACCCGACTTAATGGTGAAGCACATGGCTGGAAAAAAGGAGAGAGCTAATTGTTTGGTTGGGTTATTTATTTTGCGGAAGCCAAATGGTTGGGTTTGGGTCAATTTATTAATGAATCCCAGGGGAAATTAAAATCAAATCTCAAGAATCCCAAATCCCACACAAGAAAAAAAAAGTGTTTGAAAAGGGTTGTGCAAATTAAGGAGTGAGGGTTTGCAAAGGGCCAAGGAAAGGAAGAGGAAGGAGAATGGGAAAGAGGAACCCAGATTTGGCTACCTCTCTCAACCTTGTGCGACGTTGCAGCTAGATCTGGTCCAAGCGAAGTTTGAGTGGAGAGGAAGAGACAGAAATCATGGTTCAGACGGAGGAGAGAAAAAGAGATGGTTAAACCCCCAAGGCTGGTGAGCAAGGATCTGGAAGAAGATGAACATCAAAAGAGGTTGGCGATGAAAATGAAGGGGGAAACAAAAGGAAAAAGGAAAGAAACTGAGGCATGTTTCTGAGAGGTTTTAACTTTTGGTTAAAAATAACGTGTCAAGTTAATTTATCAATTCTACTTGTACAAATATTTTTATATGTCATTCTTTTTCCATTAGGTAACAGTACACATATTTTTACATGCCAATTTTCAAAACTTCTCTGGACTGTCATTTCTCCTTATCCAATGTACTCCACGTTTCATGACCTTAATTTCTACGAGTGGTTGAAGGCTAACAGTACGTACAAAGAGATACGAGCTAGTGAACCATTTTCTGCAACACTATTTGGTCCATTTGGTACTTCAGGAATCAACTGGTTCACCGTAGCCAGGATACAGCTATCAAAGCTATTCGTGACTTTATTTGGCTGAAAGCTAGAGAATTCTTAGCTATTACCACTCGTGTTGCTCACACAGGCACCCGTGAAACCATCCAAGTTGGCCGGACCCCTCCACCGCCTGGATTCATCAAGTTTAACACTGATGGTTCGGCCTCACCGAATCCTGGACAATCTGGTGCAGGAGGGATTATAAGAGGTGAATTTGGTAATTGGTACACGGGTGTTGCTAGAAATGTTGGGTTTACTACTAGTTTGCTGCTGAATTACGAGCTATCCGTGACGGTCTTTCCCTTGCTGTTAATAGGGGTTACCTTAAATTAGTTCTTGAAATTGATTGCAAAGTGGCTGTTTCACTTTTGGAAAATGGGAATTATACTTTTCACTCACTGAGCACATTGATTTCTGATTGCAGGAGGCTGATGACCCAAATCCCCGATCTCGGCATTTCCCACATCATGCGGGAGGCCAATTCTGCTGCTCATCTCTTGGCCAAGTTTGGTGCTAGGATGGACACTCTTTTTGTTGTATTTAATAGTTGTCCTCCGGAACTTTAACTCTATTTTGTACTCTGATGTTTTTGGGAATAGTGTTCCCAAGAATGTAACTATGTATATATATATATATATATTTTTTTTTTGGTTTTTCGTCTGGTATTTGAGATTTCGTTTTGATTAATCCGAATCCGACCCGTGTGCGCACCTAGAAATGGTGGGTGAGTATCCCAGCGAAGGCTGCTGTGTACACAATGTCTCGAACTCAAAATCTTGCTTAAACTGGAACAAATCGCTTACCACTTAATCCAACCCCTCGTCGGTAGAATGTAACTATTTAACTCTATTATATTGCATCCCCCTTCTACCAACGTGAATTTTTAATGAAGTAATTAATTTAGAGTTAAAATTTAAGAATTTAAGAATTAAATTAAAATTTTTTTTTTCAAATATTATTGTGGTTTATTAGTCATGACCCTTTTAAAAAAAAATAATGTTTACAAATTTCTATTCTTCTTCTTTCAATTATACAAGCTAAAAAAATTAAAAATTTCTTTAGCTAAGGATCAACTCAGGGTCATACAACAATCATTACCGATTGGTCCCTGAACCTTTTAAGCCACTCATCTCCACATGTATGAAAGATTCTAACCAAATTAACTGTTTAATCTCACCTAATACGTCATGCCCCACTTCATCTGTTTTTTTCACTGCCAAAGTGGATTGTGAAATAATTAAACATAACAAAATTTTTTTACTAATTCTTTTTTTTTTTATAAGAAATAAAAATATATATTAAATAATAAGAACTTACAGTAGAATTCTCCATCTTAGGGTAATATAGCCTAAAGCAACATATCCTAAAAACAAAAATCAAAAGCATAAC